ACACACATACATACAAACGCACGCACGCACGCACGCACGCACACACACACACACACACACACACACACACACACATACACACAATATTCTCTCTTTCTCAACACAAGTGCACTTTAAAAAGCAAATAATTACAATAAGCAGTTGTGCGCTTTTTTTCCTCTTTTTTTCCCAAGTGTTTCCAAGAAAATGGGAAAAAAGGTTGTGTGCGCGAAAACGGGATGCGAGTATACCTCTGTAATTTATATCACCAGCTTGCCGAGATCCCTGCCCGTTACATGTAGGCCTAGGCCTTCTCAGTACTGGCATGTTGTTCTTGCTTCTGATGGGCTTATTGTACAGATCCTCCTACCTAGCCCCCCAACCAAGGTCGCAATGCCTGTATTTTGGAGTCCGTCTGATGGGTAGTGTTTGTTTTCGCTTTTTTTTTTTTTAAGTGTGTCCAACCCACGTCCACTTTCTCTGTCTGATCTCTATATAATATATTTTCTTTTGATTTGTTTGCTCTCATAGTTGTTCATTTGTAATGGTTATCAGGTCAGCGAATTAAAATAATACAGAATACAGTTTTTCTAAAACAGCTGTTGGCAAATGCCCGAAACTTTTCAAATTTTTGTCTCGGAAACGTCCAAAATGGTTCTTATCCATAAAGCCTAGAGAGTAGAGTAGAACACTTGATCTGACATTGGTGTTGAAAACCCTTGTCTTGGTTTTTCTTGAAATTTTCTGTTGATTTATTTGCTCTCGTGGTTGTTCATATGTTGTTTTGTCAAGCTAATTAATGTTTTTCTATAGCAGCTGTTGATTAAACTTAAAGCCTATAGCTTTTTAGAAGTTTGTTTTTTAAGTTTCCATGTTTCTGATCCATACATTGGAGCTTATTTATACTTCTGATTCAGGTGTTGAAAATCCATGTCTTGGTTTTCCCCCCTCTTCGTGTAATTTCTGACATCAAGTATGTAGGCCTAATGTACATGTTATTATACAGAAGTGCAAGCACAAACTTATTAAGATTTTTATAAAGTATAATATCTAGAATGAACCCTTCTAAATTGACCTCTCATCTTTTATGTTTATGGTTGAAACCTATACGTTCTTATACTATCTCTCTGACCGTCTAGGTTGAAACATTTCGCTTCTACCCTCTTGGCCTAGTTCTTGGCCCACGCATCCTGGGTCAAGGATAAAAATAGAGCAAACCCTTGAGCCAGAGACCGTAGCCTTGAGCAATGCTAGCCTTGAGCAATGCCCGTGAGTAAAGATTCTCTGCCCGTGAGTGGCCCTCGGATGACCAATCAGACGCTTCTTTGGTGGGTTTACCCCCAAGGAGTTTAGAACTAAACTGTAAACTCCTTGGTTTACCCCACAATAACAACACTCAGGCGAGGAAACATTCAGCCTTAATGAGCAGATTCCTGGTAGATGTCTCCCTGATCCGGTTTAAAAGCAGGACTAATGTTATCTGGTTTTTCTTTAAGGTCCGGTTTAAAAATGAATAAAACTGGCTGTTCCTTACCAAGGTTCCCGAACATCTGAAGGCTGGTGCAGGGCACACACAGATTCTGAGAGAGGAGAGCGACCACTACCCGCAGTAGTCGTCCCAGTACAGTACAATTTTTTGGTGAGTCTGTCTGTCTGTCTGCCTGTCTGTCTGTCTGTCTGTCTGTCTGTCTGTCTGTCTGTCTGTCCGTCTGTCTGTCTGCCTGTCTGCCTCTCT